ATGGGCCTTCTACACCCCCGTGCCTTCAAATCTTAAAAAAGAGAGAATGTCTTAGAAAAAAAAAAATAAAAAAAAATTAGGGGGTGGAGGTGGGTGGGGTGTTGGCGCAGGGCCCTGGGGGAAACGAGGCCCGACGTTTTTTTTTTTTTTTTTTTTTTAGTATGGCACTGGCAGTTTGCCGCAGCTCATAATGTCATCATAATATCATCATAATTGTTTTTTTTGGGCCCAGAACAGCCTGCGAACGCCCCACACGACCAACGAAAGCCATGCCTAACACAGCCGAACTTGATTTTTTTTTTTCAACAAAATTAAAAAAATATCTTCCGATCAATAAATAAAAATAAACAAATATGGGTAGGTGCCCCTTGCTATGGAGCACAAACGTGTGCAACAAGCCAAAAAAAAAGAAAAACGAAGTTCCCGCTCTGCGTGAACTCCAACCGGTCACGAAAAACGTGACCGGTGACCGGCCCGCGTTCACCAGGGTCGTGAACGGTGAACGGGGTTACGACACTGGGTCAGTTGGTTATACTTTGAGACAAAAGAGACGCATCCACCATATAATTCCACCATGGCCCCAGGCCATGCATCCACTGAACCTTCGATTGGAACCTCACACCGACATTGACGATCCCGGTCGTCACGTGCTACTCCCACCATAGCGATTGTCACCCCGCCAACTTAGTCCCCGCACGGTCTTGCCTGGATCCCACAGTCCATCGGGCGATCCAGCGCACAACCGACAAGACTACATTCAATCCGTTGGGACTGTTCGACTCACACCTTCACACGTACCACCTAGCCATTGCTTCCTAGAAGCTGGCTGATGAGTTGAGAGAGAGATTTTCGGGAGCGCTTGCGGAATTTATAGTTGCGAAAAAGGAGGTAGATGCTAGGAAGGATTAGGACTGAGGTAGGGAGAGGTAGGGAAGGTTCGGGGATAATCGCCCGACGAAAGCCATGTCAATCCTTCGGATCCAAGTTGTAGCCAATCAGAATTGTCGCGTAACAGGAATTTCCTTCTTACATAGCGCGTCTCTTTGGCTAGAGGGGGGGGGGGAAAGGAAATCGACAGGGTATTCCGACGTAAGGATTAGAGCGGGAAGAAGAAGGGCGCGAAGGATAGCACGACATGGAACCAAGATTCAGACGATCAAGAAAGAGAAAAGGCGCCCGAGGCAAAGCAGAGATGGAAAAAACGGTTACAGAGAGAGGAGCGTGAGCGCGAAGAAGAGAGTGTCAAAGGTAGCGAGGGAAACGGAGGAGGGGGGGGGAGAGGAGCTTGCATGCATGGCACAGAAAGCAAAGCAAAAAGGGCACTGAAACAGTTACAGCTCATTCAAAATCCTACAGTAATTCAAAATTGAAAAACATCAGTTCCGCACGTAGAGTGAACGTGGGAAAAAAGTCCAACGCCTATTCAGATTCACACAAGAATTCCCAGAGTTTTCCGAGATGAAGTCGAGAACATTTACGTCGGGTCCCGCTTATTCCGGAATTCCTAACCGTCGAGCCAAATCCCCAGCGCGCTCGCTAAGGCGTGCACAATTCCCATGTATTTCCCAAATTGCGAAAAAATGGAATTCCAAAAACCCATCAAAATGACAAGGGGCAGGCCACAGGCCTCTTTGATTACGCGTAATGCGCATCGATTCATGAAAACACAAAAAGGGGCCTCTTCGCTCTGGTTGCAAAAGATCACAAGAAAAG